ACTTATATAGTTATATACTTACTATATAAAACGTCCATAGAAAATGGTATAGAGAAACAATCTATATAAATCCTAATCTACTAACAATGCTAATAACATATTCTGTGCCCCATTGGGGCAGCACACTACCACCGTATATTAGTATATGAGCTAAACTGACATCATTATAAGTAGGCATGCACCGATATATCGGCCGCCGAAACATATCGGCCGAAAATTGCACTTTTGGCATAATGCAGAAAGAGCCATGTTTCGGCCGATACATCGGCGCATCCCGGCTTTCTTTTCTCCCCGCTGGGCGCTGCAGGACGAGAGCGCTATGAGCGGCCGGCGTCTCTCCTCCCACACCGCTCAGCCGCCTATCACAGTCCGGCAGAGCAGTGTGGGGGCGGAGACTGCCGGCGCTGTCACAGGAGGCTGGGCTCTCCTCTCTACACGGCTCGATCAGCCTCCTGTGACCGCGTGTCAGAGAGGAGAGTCGGTGATCAGTGATCGCTGAGTGTGTGTACATAATTGAGGACATGATATGGTTACTATATCCTCAATGATGACTGAATGGGAAGTGATCTATATCACCTCTACATCACTTCCTGTCTATTCAAGATTGTAGTTATAGTAAGCATACTCTGTCCTCATGTTATGAATGATCAGGAACATTCATAAAGGATTCCTGTTCATTGATAACAGGGGACACAGAAAAAGAGATTGAGGGCTCTGTGTGTCTCTGAGGACTCTGTGTGTCTCTGCGGGCCCTGTGTGTGTCTCTGAGGGCTCTTCGTGTCTCTGAGGGTTCTGTTGCGCCCCTCTACATGTCGTGTTTATTGCTGTATATTGTCCTTCACAAAATCAATAAAAAATCAATAATAAAAAAATAAAAAGAACATCGTCAGGAAACATTTATTTGCCACAAAAGAAAAAAATCACTACAAACAATTTCCCCCTTGGGGGGTACGGCAGATACTCATGTAAGGGGCCCGGGCATCCTGGGGGGCCCGCCCGGGTCCCTTACATGACACCCTTACAAGGATGAGGAGGCCTGGCCCTAGCAGCGCAGGGCCCCAGCATTGCAGCTCCAGTGGCTTTGAGACAAGTTAGGGCCCCATCAGCGACGCTGCTTGTCTGATGTCAGACTGGCCGGAAGTGACGTCACTTCTGGCCGTTGCGGCGGCAGACGAGGCCATGTGTGCAGGTAAGAGGTGCTAGGAAGGGAGGAAGGAAAGGAGGGAGGGATGCAGCCCTGACCAGCCCACCTGAGACCCCTTCTCAGCCCACCATAGAGAGTCTCAGATGGGCTGTGCAGCATCTATGGTGGGCTCTGCAGGGTCACTCTCAGGTGGGTCCTGTGTCCAGCAGCGCGCGGGGGGGCCTAAAACAGTGTAAGGGGCCCTAAAATTTCTGATGGCTGCCCTGCCCTGGAGTAAACCTTGGGGAGTAACTTCTTCTCTCAGTTGGTCTGAGACCTCCAGGACCTCGTGGTTGATGAGGACTGAAGTACGTGTCACTCTCACACTGATACTGAGCTCTGTTGGAGGCCATTTACCTGAAGGACACGATGCGTATGCTCCTCGCTGGTTGACGTCAGTGCAGACAATTTTAGCGTTCTCCAGGATTGTAGAAGCTGGAAGAGAAGACGGAGAAGTTGTATCTTGCTGCACTCCTTACCGGATCAGAAATTGTCCCATATACAGGCGGGTGCTGGCAGTGACCACGGATGGCGCCGTGAACATCAACGAATATCAAAAATGTCACCAGCACACCAGTTTTAGAAATCAGCACGAGTCTGTTTAATGACCAGCTTCCATTACAAATTGCAAGCGCTTTCGGGGCCACAAGGGGTCCCCTCCATCAGGCTCAGAGTGTAACGACACCTAAACACCATCACCTTATATAGACATATAGATGAGACTAAAACCAAGCCGCTGGTGACGGTAATGGAGGGCGGGGCATCTCATCATCACTAGAACATTCCGTCTTTGTCTCATTCAG